ATTGCCTTGAGGACTCTAGTGAGATATTCTGTGGTTGCAATCTCCCTGTTGATCACAATTTTATTTGAGATCAAAGTAATTAAACATGTTGGACTGGCCTGAATTCATGCCTCACCAAAGGTGGAGAAAATGTAACACAACAAAAGGCATAAAGAAAATATTATGAAGAGTTTTGCAGAAGAAAACTGGTTTCTTATTGTAAAAATATGGACCAATTTATTGAGACATTAATAGGATGACAAACCACTTTAAAATTTAAATTACTCTACTGCTAGGAACACAGATCATCTCAAAGTAAACTGTGAACTGAAGGACAGTGGTGTGTGTGTGTTATTTGTGTCTGAAATAAGTGATCCTGTATTACTAATACAGAGAGAAAGGTGCCCTCAGCCTTTGCTGTGAATCAATCCATATAATATATGTGGGAGCTCAGTAAAAACTATACTTTTTTAGTACAATAAATATATGCAGAATGTTTGAGTTTGGAAAATTCAAGTCCTTTGCAAAACTTCTGCCTGTTACACCGACTTCAACTATCCCTGATTCACTGAAATAATGAGCTTTCTATTTTCTCCTCCAGAATCAGCATTTGCATTTGGAGAGGTAAAAAATTCCTTCTACCCAGTGAAAAAAGAATTTCAATAATGCAAGAGAGAAAAACAACTAATTCTGTCATTACAGCAGATACACAAAATGTCCTCCTCTCCCTGTCTGGTTAGTTTATATGAAAGGCAGTTTTGACAAGTCAGAGCCCAAATTAGGATTCGATTCCGAATATTAACCAATTTTATTTAACTCTGTAACAAAACAAATAAAAGGGTTAAACAACATATTTTAAGCATACTGCCCTTTCCAGCCAACAAAGCAAGTAAAACAAGTGTATCAATAAAGTCAGTTAAACTGAGCTGATCCTGCAAATATATATTATGTGTAATTATTTTGTGTGTAGGTAAAGGGTAACGGTGTATTGGCATAAACCTTCACCATTGATAAACCACCCCAACCTCCTATTTCCCAAAATGAACCACAACAGACTTGCTTTGGATTAAAATAGGCCACAGCTTTTTAAAAATATAAATATATAAATCTTTAAACTTCAACCTTATAACATAAAACACAATATACATAATTACTCAGTAAACAGAAACGTCACTGAGTACCACGTTGCCAACCAAACATAACTTAGGGCAGCTGCCCCTCCCCCCTTGTTCCACCCAGCACAAAGCCTTTTCTTGGGCCTTCCTTTTCTTGGGCCTTCCTTTACGTAATGATAACCAATAGCTGATATTAGCTCAGTGGGTACGTCCGTTATCCATAACTGTATCTGAGGTTAGGTGAGGGACAGCCCTACCAATCCACTTTCCCCTGGGCCCGCAACCCGGACCATCCAAACCACACCCTACACAACTCTTCAATATCACTATTCACCGAGCCCCCAAATAGGTGTTTACAAGTGGTGAATCAGCTGAAACTTACCCTGCTCCTTTTTAGGCACCACCCCCAACTGGGAGAAACGTAGGTTAGGGATTGGCGGGGACGCGAACAGGCCAGCCATCCATCCATGAGACAGCTTCTTATTGAGCTTGTCAGCCACCACTTAGGTATGATCCCGAACTGACTTGAGGTTCAGACAAACTCTAGGAGAATTCCTCACCTGATGGGGAATCCAAAACCCATCACGGACATCCCCAAGGAGCAGCTCCGCTGCCCTGTGGTTCTTATAATGGCTTAGCCACTGGAACATCATGACGTCATCCACCGGTGTCCTCGCCTTTCATGACCACGGTATCCCCGCGCTCACCGGCTTTTCCCTGCTTGAAACAGCGGAATGCTGAGTGACAACCCCCACGCCCGGAGCATTCATGTTTAAACTTGCAACCAGTCTCCCACTTACACTGACTTTCTTTGAATTGCCAGCAGTAACCAGTGCGCCTGGAGGGGTGCCCCACTGTGCCACCCCCCTCCACCCACCGAGAAAGGACGACATACCACCCTGATGCGAGGCCGAGCGAGTCATAATAGCCAGCAACAAACCAGCTCAACTCACCATACACCCAACATGCAGTCCAGACTGTATCCTGATAACAAAACAGGGCCGAGCATTTTTCTGGAAGGCTTGTAGCTTCCCCATGCTACCGCCGGGAGGGGAGGAGGCAACAACCGCAGAGGCCTGAAGATGAGCCAGCTGAGCCTGCAGGTGCAGACCCCCATCTGGTAAGGCCTCAGCCCTGAGGGTAGAGAGGACAGATTTGATATCCATACCAACCCTCGCCGCAAACAGCACTTGGAAAGGAGGTATAACGAGAGCAGCAACCAGAAATTACCAAGCTGTTCCTAACTGATAATTAAGATGGCCATTATCCTGTAAGATTGGAAACCTATTTATACCAGTCCACCCATTACTACTCCACCCACATCCCAAGACCACCTTACCACATTCCTCTGTATACACTCACCTCACACTCACATGTCCCTGTTCTGCCTAGGTCTTGCCTGGCTTCTCTGGGTCTTTACCATTGCAATATTAAATTACTTTGACTATTTGGGGTTCTGTTAAAAAAGCATGCAAGTCAGTTGACAATTTTCAGCAACTTGCTGCTGACTCTTGTTCTATTAACTTCTTCAGGATAGGGGGTTAGGTAAATGCAATTATATAGTGACAGATATAATACGTCATCTGTTCTGAAGGGGTTAATAAAGGCAGGAATATGTCATACAGGGGACTGTCTACGCGGACAATAAAAATGTCTCTTTATAAATCACTCCAGCTTTAACTTAGAATGGTAGACAGGTAGCAAATTCGCTAGGAAATGAAGTGGGGGAGGAAGATGGGCCATACTATATATCTCGCTCCTTCATATTGCTCTAATGGATTTGGAAGCCCTTGGTCTTAAATGAAATTAAATGCTCTGCAGATGATACAAGTTATATCAGCATTACAGGAGGTAACACCTCTACACATAAACGTTTTTTAACACATTGCCTCGCAACCTTCTGTCTGAGAAGTAAGTTTGGCCTGGGTAAAAGAAAGTCTGCTAATGAGGACTATATTTATTTCTATGGACAAGTCAAACCCTAAAGCTATTTTGCACTTACTTGGCAATTATCCCTATCTATAGATTCAGTTCTCGATAAATGTTTGTGAATGTCTGTTAATTCACAGAATACATAAATGCAAATTCTGCATTACAAGGAAACAGATGAAAAATTGCTATCAGTCCAATAAGGACATTATATGTTTTATTTGTTGAGGTTTAGTATCCTGATGAAAGGTTTGGCACATAGTTATTTCTAGGCCTTGGTACAATGTTAATAAATTATTAAACCACATACAAATAAATTCAGGTGATCTATATTAAAGAGGAACTGTTACCTACTACATATTCTTAAAGTTGAATTCTTCAAATGAAACTTTGGAACAATAACAGTTTTGGGAAGAAGGCAAATAGAATTGTATTGATAAAAATGCAATTCAAAACCATAATAATCATTATGTAAGAATTTCTGCAATCAGGGAACCCTTAGCATACCTCGTGGCAAAATACTCTCCCTTTCCTCCCTCAGCAAAGGCTATTTTTTTTTCCACCTGTCAGAACTTAGTGGACATGGTAAGGTAAGGACATAGCGAAGACAGAAGGAAAGGAGATATGGGGAAAGAATGAGAAGGGCCCTTGTGAAAGACACAGGGAGAGATTGGGGTTAAGGGATAAATGGGGTCAAATTAAAGTGGGCATGGGAAGAGACATTGGGTTGAGATCAGCATAATGAGAGACATCAGGTGGTAATGGGGAGGGGAAATGGGTCAAGATGGGCATGGGAATCAACACAAAGTTGGAGTAGCCCAGCATTCTGGGAAAAATTTAATGATCTTAAAAGATGTTGCTATTATAACTTTGAAAGAGCATCACATCTTACTATGATGCTAAGGGTCTTCAATTGTTTATTGGTAAGCACGAGAATTTAATTAAGAAAAAGGCTGAATTGAGGAAAGCATAGAACAAAAAAAAGAGTGTGAAACCACATAACCAATTTTGTGCTAAACAAGGGACTTACTTAAAGTACATGAACTTGCACCCCTATTCTTCTCATTTGTGACTTTTTGTGAATTTTTTCTCATTTGAGACTTTTGTCTGTCTTCTATCTTCTGGAAACCCATATCTCTGTGAATTTCTATTATGCTTACAGGCAAATATAAGTTCACATTGACAATACAACTGTTCAAAGTACTGCACCACGAAACCCACTTATGGTATACTATTTCATTTTTTAGAATTACAAAATCTTTTATCCAGAATTATGAAATCCTCTAAAATGCCTCTAAAAAACTCCTGGAAAGGGCTAGAGAGCTGAAAAAGGAAGTAAAATGGGGGTAAGAGTAGGACAAGTACCCTGCAAACAAATGTGGATAGGGAAATCACTTAAAATAACATAAAATACCTAAAAATTACAAATACAGCTGAGCCATAAAATAGCACTAGATGGAATTTTTTATTTTAGCTTTGGAAGAACATAAATCAAAATCTAAAGCATGGCTGTCAGGAGGATCACCAGAATTATCAATAGGAGGGTTGGAGTGCAGGGTATTCTCTTTCATTGTTTAAACTGAGCTCAACTCCTGATGCATGGAAAAAAGGCCTTCACAAGCCTCTGCTAATGTGTACATAGTTTATACTAAGTGACCCATTGGTTGAGGAGATGTTGACGTGGTGGTGGAGGTGGCAGCGGCGGTGGAGGAGGAGGATGAGGTAGCCAACACTGTTTTTTATTTATTTGTTTTGTTTTTTCGCTTTTTGTTTTTAATTGGGGTAGCCCCCAAAATATTGGGGACATATAAAAAAAAAGATACATTTGTGGCCTGCGGTGCATTTCTTGCAGTCCTGATGCATGAAGAAATGCTCTACTCCTAATGCATGGAGAATAGGCCTTCACAAGCCTCTGCTATTGTGTACATAGTTTTATACTAAGTGACCCATAGGTTGAGGAGGCGGTGACCGTGGTGGTGTAGGTGGAAGCAGCGGTGGAGGAGGAGGATGAGGTAGCCAACACTGTTTTTTATGTTTTTTTTATTTTTTAATTGTGGTAGCCCACAAAATATTGGGACATATAAAAAAGACAAATCTGTTCCGCAGAGTAGCTGTTGACATTATAGTTGTGCAGGCACTTTGTTGACTCTAGAGAACCTCGAGCCAATCGCACATCCCCGTGACGGCGACTTTGCATTTGGATGTCATCCATATCAACTTTCGATGCCAGTTTCTGTGCCTACCATGGTGACCACAGGTAATGGGGAATCAGGGTTCCATTCCGTACAGGGACCCTGAGAAACGGCTACCACATGCAAGGAAGGCAGCAGGCGCGCAAATGACCCACTCCCGACGGGGGAAGGTAGTGATGACAAATAACAATACAGAACTCTTTAGAGGCCCTGTAATTATAATGAGTCCACTTGAAATCCTTTACCTCTGATCAATTGGAGGGAAGTCTGGTGCAGAGCCACTGACCCATGCGTGCTGCAGCTGAAACTCCACTATCGCCTGTTGCTGCTCGCACAGTCTCATGAGATGGTGAGCGGGAAGGCCGATGTTATGCTGCAGCGCAGACAGGCGAGCAGCAGCAGGGTGACAATGCCAAAAGCGCACACAGCACCTACAGTGAATGTCACATCCTGTTCCAAGTTGCGGATCAGTCTGGTGATGGCTTCTGGTATCCAGTACTCTTTTTACTGAAGCTGCATCAGGGTCCTGGTATGTGGCCGCACAAACGCTGGTGCTCAACACCAGGGGGCATGCGGTTACCCTGCACCAGACCCTGCTAATCCATTCCACACTGTGACTCCTAACTTCAACATGCAGGCATACTGGGTCCCGGTCGTCCGACCGCTGCCCAGACAGTGTCTGGGTCCTGGTCACCGGACTGCCCACCTGACTGTGAAACTACGAATGGACGAATGGATCGTTAAATCTGGTATGAACCCGAACTTTGCAGTTTGGGTTCACTCAACTCTATTATGGATCCTTTGATCGATACATGTATTACTTGGATAACTGGTAATTCTCGAACTAATACATGCCGACGAGCGCTAGGGGACGGCCGCTCCGCTTTTTTTTACCCTGCTCCCTCTTATGCTGTGCTGGTGCCTCTGTGCGACCAGCGCCTCTTCCTCCAAACTGCACACATCACTCACATCACGCTGTTAGCGGAACACCTACCAGGGGAAACCAACACGACAGCGGATTGGAAGCACAAAGGGGTCCCTTCTCCCTGGATTTATTCACCTCCCGCAACAACCGTCAGACGAAGGACTTCTTCAGTTGGCTCCCAGATCCGGAGAGTCTAGCAACGGATGTGTTCCTGCAACAATGGCCACAACACGGGGCTTACGCATTCCCACCATTCTCAATGATTACGAGGGTTCTCCACCGAATCCGCATGCAGAGGGTGATACTGAACCTCATCACGCCTCTATGGTAAAGCCAACCATGGTTCCCGGATCTTCTGGAGTTGTCGAACAGGGATCCCCTCCCCCTACCAGATACTCCGACCATTCTCAGGAACCCGATGGGACAACCCCTTCCGCTGGTCAGGAAGGACCGGCTCCCCCAGGTGGCCTGGACTCTTTCAGGGGTTCCTGGAGAACCGAGGATTTATCGCATGAAACTAGGGAGCTCCTATGGGACTCATGGGCGCCAGGAACAAGGAGGTGCTACTTATCAGCATGGCACTGCTGGACAACTTGGTGTCTGGGACGGGATCTCAATCCCTTTACGGCACCTATTCCCTCCATCATGAATTTCCTCACCTCTCTGTTCACAGCCGGGAAATCATACCGGTCCATCAACGTGATACGTTCAGCCAGCTCAGCGGCTCATACGCCGACTCAAGGGACACCAGTGGGCCAGAACCCACTCATCTGTAGACTCCTCCGTGGAATGCGCCTTCAGCGCCCGCCAGAGCCCAAATACTTGAGACTTTGGGACGTTGGCATAGTTTTACAGTTTTTACGGGACTGGCCTCCTAACGAGAACTTATCACTCCGCCAGCTTACGGCAAAATTCACCTTCCTACTCTGCCTAGTCTCCTTTCCTCGAGTGTCCGATGTACGCGCTTTTGACGCCGACGCATTTACCTTTTGCCCAGCGGGAGGAACCTTCCAGGTCTCTAGGCGCACGAAGTCTGACTCTTCATCTGTTTTTTACCCCCTTTTTTCCCTCAGACCCTCAGCTCTGTGTGGTCTCTACTCTTCGTCGATACGTGGAAGCCACCACGACGTTGCGGCCTACTTCCAATTGTCAACTTCTCATCTCTTACGTCCGCCCCTACGCTCCAGTCTCAGTTACTACGTTGGCCAGATGGGTTAGATGGCTCTTAGCCCTTGCGGAGATAGACCAGGCTTTTGGAGCACGCGGCCTCTTCCGCCTACGTGGCAAGGGCCTCCCTTCCAGATATTTTACGAGCGGCGGACTGGACTAGAGAATCCACCTTTAGGACGTTCTACTTTCGTCCTCCATCTAATCCAGCTTTTGCTCTACTTTCTCAGCTTTGAAATTGCAAAATACGAAGCCTCCTGACATGTGATAAAATTGAAGATTATGCTAGCTTCAGTGTACAGATAATCTTAATTTTAATAATGACAGGAGGCGAGTATTTTCCCTCCCTGCTCTCCTTCGCTCTTCCCTCCCTCTGTCTTCATGTATATTTCTATCTCTTTGTTCACATGTTATTATTGTTCTAATGCCTAAGTTGTTTTTTTTCTCACACTTAATACAGATATACCATGTGGGTGGGATGGTTTAGTTAGCATCAATAGATGGGAGGAATGTATTCGCTCTATTGCAATAATGATATTTTACTTAATCATAAGGGATAGACAGCTCATTGTTTTTACACAACCATATCTGGAATCTAATACCCTTTATATTCTTGTTTCAGTTTAACCAGATGAATCAGGACACTAAAGACTCCATTCAAGATGTCATCATCGTCTTGTCATGGAAGATCGTCACTTGACATCAAGAAGTCTTCCCTTGGAGTCTATCTGTTTATGTTCAATCTTCATGTTATAAGTTATCACTATTGTTATTCTGCATTGTGATCTTGTGATGTTGCATGCTTTAAGAGGAAATGATATCATACGTTACACCTCTTATACTCTATACTGCATTGTGATTGGTTCTCAGTTATGTCACTCTTTTCTTAGCTGCTATGGAGTTAGTAAAGAAAGATTATGCAAAATACTCGCCTCCTGTCATTATTAAAATTAAGATTATCTGTACACTGAAGCTAGCATAATCTTCAATTTTTGCCGTCTCTTCTCTGCATCATTTCTGTACTTCAGTAATATTGGTTTTCAAGTATGAGACCCTGTTTAACCCCTTAAGGACACATGACATGTCATAATTCCTATTTATTTCAGAGGTTTGGTCCTTAAGGGTTAAAGTCCTGACACAGCCTCTCAATGAAGTTAAAGTCAGGACATTGGTTAGGTCGCTCCAAACTCCTTATAGTTTTTTTTTTTTTTAGTTGAGATAGACTTACTATTGTGATTTGAGCTATTGTCATGATGCATAACTTAATTATATTTCAGCTTCAGATCATAGAAGGACTGAAGTTCATCTACTGAATTTTCTCATCGATAGAAGTCATAGTTCCTTTAGTAAAAACAAGTTTCTAGGCACTGAGGTAACAATGTATCCCCACTCAATCATATTACTACCACCATGATGTATGTTCTTATTGTGAAATAATTTGTTTACGTTATGTCAAACATAATATAAATAACATAACATAACCAGTGTCATACACAAAAGTTCTGCTTTTGAGATGTCTGTCAAAAAGTGTTGTGGGAGATTATATATATATATATATATATATATATATATATATATATATATATATATATATTTCTATTTGTTGCAAATGTTACATGAGCACTAATGATTTTCTTAGCAGTGTTTTTTACAACTCTCCAATGAATTCTATTTTTGCCAAATCTTTTTTTTTTTTTGACGAGTTGTGAATGCTAAGAGGCCTGCAGTTCCTTAAATGTTTTATAGCATGTTTTTACGACTTCCTAGTCGCATCTTCTTTAGCCTTTGGGGACATTTTTGGTAGGCTGGCTTTTTGTAGGAGGGGTCACTATTGTTTCCAGTTATATCCATTTGAGGATTTTGGCTCTTACTGTGTTTATTTGTAGTCCAGCAGCCTTAAAAAAAATCCCATAGCTTTCCCTCGATAATATATCTTATGTTTTGTTTTCTTGTCTTCTCTAGTGTTACTTTTAATTGTGGCATAATGTGCTGTACTGTATACTGAAACCTTCTAGACTGCTTTACATTGATTTTTAAAGTATTTTGAATTGCAGAAAAATGCTGGATGATTGGTATTTAAAAAGTAATCATTCTTTTATAATTTGCGTTTTTTTGTTGGACATCCATTTTAAATATACTGGAATGTTCTAGATGATCTCATGGGTTCTTCCGCCATTTTGGACTCGACAATATTATAATAAAATAAACTGGTCATGTGGCAAACAATCAGTGATTTACTAAGTACTAATATTAAGGGTAGTAATAATAATCTAAATTTTTAAATCAAGCATCTAGTAGAACTATATGTATATATAAAATATAATAAGCTCTAAAAGAAGAAACAATATACAATGTCTTGAATATACAACAAAAATATACATAACTTTTTTTAATTTATTTTTTTACAATGGATAATATACTCACACGTTAAAAAATGTCTAAAGTTACATTAAGAGGTACAATAATTTATAGCACCCATATTAGAAAACTAAGGGGTTAATAGTCTTTTCCATTTCTTCGGAGTCTGCAATAAAATACTATAAGAGTCATTAATATTTCAATTTGTAAAGACTTTTACGATCAATAAAACCTCCATTTGTTACTTAGTCAATCAGATATTTAAAAGTACTTCTTTTTCGTTACAGGGCAGAGTTAAACGCTCGTTTGAACAGATTCTACAAACATGTCAGTGAGGGTCCCGTAGGACTTTATCTCTTCTTCATTTCAGCAACGTTTTTACATTTTTGCCTAAAGGCTTCGTCCCTCTGAGTTTTTGGCCATTGGCATAAAAAATGCTTTAAACAGAGTAACAAAGAATTATTATATACCTAGATCCCTTGAAAAATTACATCAACTATGTTCGGTTTCCCACTCAATATTTTTTATAATAAATCTTTTTTTAACCTTTTCATAAAAACACTTATAAACCCTTAGCAGTGTAAGTACAGTCTAGCACAAAAGTTGGAAAATTAATTATATAGAAATATATAAGTACAAAGAGGTTCAGGTGTTATTATTACCCAACTCAATGTTAATCATTTTCAA